CTGAGAAAGGCTAGAGGCAAAATGGCGGTGCAGGGTACGTGCCTTGGGTGGCTTGTTGAAATGGTGCTGGAAAACAAAGGGCTGGATGGGCAGAGTTGTGGGACGCTGGTCCTTGCTGTAGCGTACCACAGGTTTGCTGTCTGTGCCACCACCTTCGGGGAGACAAAAGGGGACCAAGTGTGAGGGCGGGCAGAGGAACAATCATCATGAGCCTGGCAGATCACAAGCAAAATGGAATGTGAGCGCACACACAGAGCACTGGATGCACACGCAGGACTGGCTGGGTTCCTTGGGCTACAGCCACACAGCATCCCTGCGTGGTACAGCAGGTGTCCTCTGCCCTTACTCCAGATCTGCCTTTGGGCAGGGACCTGCCCTAAAAAAAAGACAGGCCTACAGCATAAACCCTGGGACACAGGACCGGCTACAACAGAGCTCTAGTGCTACCTGCAGGGTGTGACAGATCCCCTTCCCTATAAGCACTTTGCAGGGCAGCTCTGTGGTCTTTCCCTCTAGTCCCTTCTCAGACATTCCAGGCTTCAGACTGCTCTCAGCTCTGTGTCTCTCTCTGCTGCAGGCACGGATTTTCTATGCAGTCCTAATGTGCAGGTCACATCCTATTACACGTGATAGGAAGGGACTGCACAAGGGCCACGGCTGTGGGAACTCCCGGGATACATTGCCCTGGGAGCTGCTGTTTGCCCCCTTCTCCCACTCTGTGCAGCTCTTGCTCCTTCCAAACAATTCCTCTGCAAACCCAGGGCTGCTCCCACCGCTGCCTTCTCCCAGCAGAGACCTACTTTCCAAGCTGTCCTGCAGCAAGCACAGGTTCAAGGCTCAGTAAACAAATAGGTCAAAACACAACTCTTGCTTCAAAGGCTAAAATCTCTCCCACACTTGCAGTGCAAAACACTGCCCTAGCAGTGAAAGAATTGTTCTTTCCATCTCTTGCTGGAAATGTTCATGTCATTAAACGGAAACAGTCAGGGCTCTGGCACATTAGGGGCTATCTAACACAGCCGTCTGGTCAGTCTGCTCAGCAGCTCATTTTAGATGATAGGCTCTTTCCTGGGGTGCAGGTATAAGCACTGTCTGGGGCAGAGATACTGATCTGCTATGCTAGAGGAATGGCCATACTTGAGCCACCTATAGGGCTGTCTCACAGCTCCCTCCCCAGGACATGCAGTAGCAATATCAGTGTGGAAAGCAATTCATGTAAAGGGCTTTGCTGCAGAGGGAACTGGAACAATTACCCTGGCGATGGGCAAGCATTTTTCCATAGGAATCCTTGCTGCAATCTCATGCACTGTTGAGGATAGAGCCAGGAAATTCCAGGCTAATGGGACATCCTGGCTCATACTGTCGATCATGACAGACACTGTGTGAGCTTCCTGGACCCTGCCCAGGTCCAGGATGTAATCTGCATTGAGAAGCAGATGCTGGCTACACTTTCTCCGCCTCTTTATATGGCTCCAAATAAGAAGAGCTAAAAAAAATAACTAATTATTCCTTTCCCTGCCTCTGCTAGGAACCTGACTCTGCTGCGTACCCTCAAGTCCCTGTCTCGGGAGCTAAAGGCAGCCTCTTATGGGACTGGAGGAGAACAGCTCCAGGAAACAGACTCAGAACAAGACAATTCTCCAAGAAGTTGCACAGATTCTAAGTGCTAATGCCATGTCCTCCCTTACATGGTATAGGAGGACTGTACAGGAACTCAAAAGGCTCTAGAAATACAAGGGCAAAACACTTGCATTGATCTGGGCCTGAAATAAGCACAACAGGGCTTTACCCCAGAGACTGGTAGGCTATGGTCTCCCACTGCCATGCAGGTTCCTCTGTTGCTCCCCTCATGTCCCAAAGGGGCCTTTTCTTTCTTTCTTTTCTTTTTTTTTAATGTCTTCATTCTGTCTATTTTGGCTCCTTACCATCTGCTCGGACTCTAACATCTCTTTGTCCTCGGACACTGGCAGAGCTACCTGAGCAGCAGCCATTGGCCTCTGTGAGCAGGGAGAGAGAGGCTTGCTCACCTGCCCCATGCCCACCAGGGATGGTCTCACTGGAGTCCAAGTCTTTGGTGGAACACAAAGCCT